ACTTGGGCCATCTTCTGCTGCTTTCCCAGGCCATAGCAGAGAGCTGGATGGGAAGAGGAGCAGCCGGACTCAGGTGCTACAGGGTCATCTTTGGCCACATCCTCGCTCAACAGATGTTGGCCACACACCTCCTCTGTGCCTCCTGGAGTTAAAGACTGGGGTCCACGAGCACAGTGTGGGCTGCTGAGGCACGGCAGCAGGCAGGTCTCCAGGGAGAGTGCAGAGGATGGGAAGAGCGCTCAGAGCGAAGGCTGAGGCCCTGTAGTGTTTACAGGGTACAGAAGAGGAGGGCCCAGCTGGACAAGACAGGCTGCAGGGAGACACCCGGGGAGTGCTGATGGCCTGGAGCTGTTCAAGGAACCCTGGAGAGGTTCCTACAAGCATCCATGAGCTTCTGGTGCTGGTAGGCCCGCAGGGACTTCCAGGGCCTGGGCGCACAGAGGCCAGGCTGAAGGGAGTAGGGAGGAGCGGAGGCAATGAGTACCCTTCAAGAGGTCTGGCTGGAAAGAGGAGAGGCCGTGTGAGCTGGAGAAAGGACAAGGAGGACTGGACACGTGTAGCCTGCTGATGCAGACCCAGGGAGGTGGAAGTGATGGCTCAAGTAACTGGGTACCTGCCATCCACATGGGAAACCTGGACTTTGTTCCCAGCTCCCAACTCCTTGCTCGGGCCCAGCTCTGACTGCTGGCAAGAATTTGGAGAATGAACGTGCAACAAGAATTTCTCTCTCTCAATAATAACAAAATAACAAAGACAGCTGCAACTGCAATCTAGGAGAAAATAGTTGCAGAACTTTGCATATCTCACACAAGAACAAGTATCTAGAACAATGAAGAATCCTCAAAACTCGCTGCTAAAAATGAACAGTAGAACTAGAAAGTGGGCAAAAGACACAAAGAGAATTTCTTTAAAGAGGACATAGAGAAGGTGCATAAGCACACAAGAGATGTTCAACATTCTGAGCTTGAGAAGCACAAATTAAAACCACAAGGAGTTATCAGGGCACACTTACCGGAAGGGCCAAAATGAACCATCGGGACCTCACCAGCTGCTAGTGAGATGCAGAGAAAGTGGATCACTTACACAACACTGATGAGAACGTAAAACGGCACAGGCACTTTGGAAAACAGTTTGGCGGTTTCTTATAAAAGCAAACATGCAACTCTATCATATGGCCAGATTTTGCACTCTTGATTGTTGTCTCAGAAATGAAATTTTCTGTTCATACAAAAATGTATGCCCAGGGCCAAAACTGTGGCACAATGTTAATCCTCTGCCTGCGGTGCCGGCATCCCATATGGGCGCTGGTTCTAGTCCCGGCTACTCCTCTTCCAATCCAGCTTTCTGCTATGGCCTAGGAAAGGAGCAGAACTTGGCCCAAGTGCTTGGGCCCCTGCACCCACTTGGGAGACCCAGAAGAAGCTCCTGGCTCCTGGCTTCGGATCTGCCCAGCTCCGGCTGTTGCGGCCAGTTGGGCAGTGAACTGGCAGGTGGAAGACATTTCTGTCTCTCCCTCTGTCTGTAACTCTACCTCTCAAATAAATAAATAAATAAAATCTAAAATAAAAAATGCACAGAGGTTTATAGTAGCTTTATTTGTAACAACCCCAGACTGGAAACACCCTAGATGTTCATCAATGGGTGAATAGTGAAATAAACTGTGGTGAAGAGTTTTTTTTTTTCTTTTCTTAAAAAGATGTATTTATTCAGGGCTGGTGTCATGGTATAGCAGGTAAAGCTGCCACCTGTGATGCTGGGAGATCCCATTACGGGTGCGAGTTCTGGTCTTGGCTGCTCTACTTCCCATCCAGCTCCCTGTTAATGTGCCTGGGAAAGCAGTGGAGGAAGGTCCACTGGCTCCTGGCTCCTGGCTCCTGGCTCTTGGCTCTTGGCTTCAGCCCAGCCCAGCTCTGGCCTTCATGGCCATTTGGGGAGTGACCAGCTACAGATAGTGGTTTAACCCACTGCACCACAGAAGCAGCCCCTCTTTCTAAAAATATTTTTTTTTTTTGACAGGCAGAGTGGACAGTGAGAGAGAGACAGAGAGAGAAAGGTCTTCCTTTGCCGTTGGATCACCCTCCAATGGCCGCCGCTGCAGCCGGCGCACCGCGCTGATCCGATGGCAGGAGCCAGGATCCAGGTGCTTTTCCTGGTCTCCCATGGGGTGCAGGGCCCAAGCACCTGGGCCATCCTCCACTGCACTCCCTGGCCATAGCAGAGAGCTGGCCTGGAAGAGGGGCAACCGGGACAGAATCCGGCGCCCCAACCGGGACTAGAACCCGGTGTGCCGGCGCCGCAAGGTGGAGGATTAGCCTAGTGAGCCACGGCGCCGGCTTTAAAAATATTTATTTATTTATCTATTTATGTGAAAGGCAGAGTATGAGAGAGAGAGAGGAAGTGTATCTTCCATGCACTGTTTACTTTCCAAGGCTGGGCCAGGCCGAAGCCAGGAGCCGGGACCTCCATTCTGGTCTCCATGTGGATGGCAGGGGCACAAGGACTTGGGTCATCTGCTGCTGCTTTCCCAAGCACATTGGCAGGGAGCTGGATCAGACAAAGAGCAGCCAGGACTCCAACTGGCACTGCACTGTGGAATGCCAGTATCACAGCGGCAGCTGGATCTGCTGTGTTGTAAGTCGCCCCTGGTGCACCCACTTCGTGCAGTGCTAACCAGCCATGAGAAGGAGCACACCACTGGTGCAAGCAGCAACCCGAAGGAGTCTCCAGAGAATGATGCTGGGCGAAGAAGACCAATCCCCTCAAATCTACAACCTGCTGGACCCATTTATAGAACACGCTTGAACTGACCCAATTGTAGAGATGGAGAACAGACTGTTGGTTGCCGGGGGTTAAGGAAGCAGAGTTGGAAGAAGGTGGATATAGATAGACCAAAGCAAAATGAGGGGTCCTTGTGGCTTGCAGGGACGTTACTGGCATGAGTGAGAGAATCTCAAGAGAGATGAGGACCGTCCAGCGCCCAGGTCGGCACATGGATTTGCCTTTCCTGCTGCCTACCAGGATCAGCGGTCACCAGAGACTCTTCAGACAAGAGACTGGGGGCGAGACAGCTTTGGAGGGCTATGCAAACATCCCCATCCTGGCAATTCTGAATTTCTGCTTTCAGACATCCCAGCAAATGTGTAGAGATACCTGTCTCATTATCAAGTGTGAAGAGAGATCTCAACGCGGCTGTGTTTTGCACTTCTGTGGCCAGTGCTATGGAGCATCTTTCCATGGCTTCTTGGCCTGGATACCCTCTGCTAACCTATGTCTGGACCAACCTGGTTTGGAGTTGAGAGTTGGCTGTGCGTGAGCAGGCTGGTGCTGAGGGTCTAGGAATCTCCCCTGCAGATCGTGCATGCCCTGTGAATGAGGGAGATTCCCAAAGGCAGAGTGAAGGGAGAAGAGCGAACGCTGTTAAAGCTTTGGGAATTCAGGAACTAGAGAAGTGAGGAGAGGAGGTGGAGACACAAGATAGACCCTCTCTCCTAACTCGGGCAGGGGGAGGGCCAAGTGGAGGCTGAGGCCAGTGACAGGGCGAGGTCTGACGGGCGGAGCCCCTGGCAGGCTGTGGGCAGTGGGAAGAGGCCAGTGAATGGAGTTCAGGCTTGAGACTCTTCTCAAGGTTTAGGCAGGCCAGGGCCAGGTTTGCAGGTCCAGGGGCCTCACCGGGTTCTTCCACCGTAGCCCTCACCACTGCCCTCTAGTGGTGACTGTGCTTGTCTCAGATCAGGAGGTTAAGTTCCTCCCTGTTGAAGGCACAGAGCTGAGAGGTGAACCCCAACTCTACATCTTTCCAAGACACACTACTGTCCAGCATCCTGTGGGGACCCAGCGTGAGAAGAGATGTTATCATCTGGCAGGAATCTGGGGTGGGGGGCTCAGCCTAAATGTTGCCTCTTCAGAGCTTCTGCCCACTCATCTGAAGTAGATCCCCTCTCCAGTTCCTCTCGCAACACTCCATTTGTCTTCTTCATTAATTCTGATTATAAATTGATGTGTGAATGTAGTTTACTCTTACTGTGAACTGTAGTCTATAGGAAAAGGACCTAAATAAATAACTAAAAAGTGGGGGGCAGTTTTCCAGTGTTGTGGCATGGCAGGTTAAGCTGCTGCCTGTGGCAGGGCATTCCCGTATGGATGCCAGTTCAAGTCCCAGCTGCTCCACTTCCTATCCAGCCAGCTCCCTGCTGGTGTGCATGGGAAGGCAGCGAAGATGGCCTGAGCTCGAGCTACTGCCACGTGTGCAGGAGACCCAGATGGAGTTGCAGGCTCCTGGCTTCAGCCTGGCCCAGCCCTGGCTGTTGTCCATTTAGGGAGTGAACCGCAGGTGGAAGATCTCTCTCTCTCTCTCTCTCTCTGTCTCTGTAATTCTGCCATTCAAATAAATAAATAACATACATAATACATACTATTTTTATTTTTTAAAAGATTTATTCATTTACTTGAAAGTCAGAGTTACACAGAGAGGAGAGGCAGAGAGAGAGAGAGGTCTTCCATCCGCTGGTTCACTCCCCAGATGGCCACAATGGATGGAGCTGTGCCAATCCGAAGCCAGGAGCCAGGAGCTTCTTCCGGGTCTCCCACATGGGTGCAGGGGCCCAAGGACTTGGGCCATCTTCTACTGCTTTCCGAGGCCATAGCAGAGAGCTGGATTGGAAGAGGAGCAGCCAGGACAAGAACCGGTGCCCATATAGGATGCAGGCGCTTCAGGCCAGGGCATTAACCCGCTGCACCACAGCACCGGCCCCTCATACATAGTTTTTTTTTTTTAAAAAGGACCATGGTCCATGCCCCATCCTAGTTCCAGGGTCTGATGTAGAGCCTGGCCCTCAGCAGACACTCATGGGGGCTGAATGTGTGGGTGCATCTGGCAAACAGAGACAGATTAGGGGTGCTGTACATCATAGTTTTTCAAGGGAGACCCTACGATTGATTGACTCTCACCTCCTACACCACCCCAGGGTGGGATGCAGGGCTTATTCTCTCAGTGACAGTGTAAAAATAACATTTATAGCCGGCGCCGTGGCTCAATAGGCTAATCCTCCACCTTGCGGCGCCAGCACACCGGGTTCTAGTCCCGGTTGGGGCGCCGGATTCTGTCCCGGTTGCCCCTCTTCCAGGCCAGCTCTCTGCTATGGCCAGGGAGTGCAGTGGAGGATGGCCCAGGTGCTTGGGCCCTGCACCCCATGGGAGACCAGGAAAAGCACCTGGCTCCTGGCTCCTGCCAGGATCAGCGCGGTGCGCCGGCTGCAGCGGCGGCCATTGGAGGGTGAACCAACGGCAAAAGGAAGACCTTTCTCTCTCTGTCTCTCTCTCTCACTGTCCACTCTGCCTGTCAAAAAAAAAAAAATAACATTTATGTTACAGGAATGTGGGTCAAGGCTGAAGAGGCAGGAAGCAGGCGTGGATGAGGGGGTGACGAGCAAGGGCACCTATGAACAGAACTGAGAACCCTGGGAGAATCAGACTCCTTGGCCACCTGACATTCAGGGCCGGTCCTTGGCAGCTAGGACTGGGGGCTTAGGTGACGTCATACCTCACTGCCTCCTCAGAGGAACTTGCCAGAAAACGGACTTCAGTGTAGGAACAGTCCTGTTCACCAAGCAAAGTCAGTTATGCCTCGGTCATTGCTGTCTTGTCTTTTCTGCACTTGATCACTCAAAATGTTTATTGGCATCTAGAGGTGTTCGAAAGTCTTATGCTTGGGCTTGTCCAGCCAGGTCCTGCTGTCATGGCGCTGCAGGAGACAGAACACAGGGATCTATGCAACATAAGCAGAAGCCTGCTCTGCCTGTGTCCCACATATCTAGAAGGCTCTTTGGAGTAGGGGCCCCAGATGGTTCCTTTTTTTAAAAAAATATTTATTTATTTTGAAAGAGTTACAAAGAGGAAGAGACAGAGAGAGGTATCTTCCATCTGCTGGTCCTCTCCCAGCTGGCCACAATGGCTAGCGCTGAGTCAGACTGAAGCCAGGAGCCAGGAGCTTCTTCCAGGTCTCCTACCTGGGTGGCAGGGGCCACATCATCCAGTGGTCATCATCCACTCCCTTCCCAGGCCATTAGGAGGGAGCTGGATAGGAAGTAGAGCAGCCAGGGCAAGAACCAGCACTCATATGGGATCCTGGTGTTGCAGGTGGCAGCTTAACCTCCTACACCACAATGCCCCCTCCCTCTACCCCCTTGATCCGAAGTTCATAGTCCAGTGTGAATGGCAGATAAGAGACAGGCAGTGACCCTAAAGGGTGAGGAAGGGGCAAAAGAAGAGTCCCATGGTGCCCAGAGAAGCTTGCAGGGGAGACCAGAGAGAGAGGAAGTGACCGAAGGACCGGCAGAAGGTGGCCCTGCGAGGCTCAGGGGGGTGGGGGTGGAGGAGTGAGCAGCCACAGCAAACAGCCTGTGCCAAGGTCTGGAGGTGACAGAACATGAGCCTTCGGGGAACTCAAAATAGTTCAGTGTAGCTGGAGCACAGAGTGGCAAGAAATCAGGCAGGAGTCTGGGCTGGAGGAGGCTTCCCAGGAGCCCACTTTGGAAGGGGCTTAGCTGGGTCAAGATGGCCACTGGGCCTCCACCCTTCAGCGAGCACTCTGGGAACCCCAGTTTCTCTTAGAACCAACTTATTCCCCGGCCTCACCTGCAAGTTACAGGAAACAGCCCCTCCCCGGCCTCGGTGTGGTCGGTGGACTTTCCCACGAGCTGTCATCCATCTGGACAGACTGAAGGTGGGTTCGTCGTCCACGCAGAAAGAGCACTAGCGACTGTACAGACACCAGCCCAAGGCGCTTCTGCAGATGGCTGCAAATTTCAGTGTGTCTTCTTTTTTTCCCCTTTAATTTCCCTTCTTTCACCAATTACATGAAGCCACAATGGTTCTCTTGGGCCAAAAGTGACCAAGGGCTGGATTTCATTTTCTCCGTGACCACAGCCAGTGGCTCTGCTCGCCAGGGACTGTGAAAGGTCATTTGAAGCTGAGGCAGAAATCCCTGTTGCTCGGCATGGCCCGCCCACATGCTGTGGCTGCTTGACCCTGCTTCCTCTCCCGCCTCCCTCGCTCTCCAAACGCCACTGCCTTAGAAGCCCTCAACAGGGGCCATTTCCCACCTGCTTTGACAGCTGGGCTTTTCCAAAAGGTCTATTTTTGTGCCCCCGTTTCCTCTCCTCTCCTCTGCCCCCACACCATGTGTCTCCAGGGGTCCTCTGATCTCTTTCTGGTCCTCGTTCTCAGGGACTCTCTGCCTCGGGCCCTGTGGTCTCCTGTCCTCAGGACACATACGGGTTCTCTGTGGCTTGTGTCCGGCCTCTTTTCTCCGCTCCGTCCAGGGCTGGTTCCTCCTGCTGCTGACCCCTCCAGCAGTTCGGCCTACCCCTCCGAGTCTCTCCGTCCCATCCAGACCTGGACTCTGGACCTCCTCCGCTTCCCGCCATAGTTGCGACTCAGCTGGTCAGCTCAGGTAAGGTGGGGATCAGGCCCGCTCTCATTCCTGGTCAGTGTGAAATCAGTGGGCCGGGAGGCAGTGCAGGGTCCTCGCTCCCAGCCCAGCTCTGGTTTTGAACCTGCTGCCTCTTACAGGAACAGCTAGCACTTCCAGACATTTCACCGCACGCCAATCGCTGTGATCAGAGCGTTCTGTGCATCCCCTCGGTTCTGTTTTTATCTTCCTGCCCCAGAGAAAAAGAAAAAGAACACCCAGGAAGACTGAGTAGCGTAGTCATGGCCAAGAGCTGGTTCGTGGTAGAAGTTGGCCTCGAACCAGCGTCCTGACGATGCCTCCAGCGTCCCTGCTCTGTCCATGACCCGGTACAGCGCCGTTTCCGCGACGCTCGCAGCCCGCGCCGCCCCGCCCCGCCCCGCCGGCGGCCGCGCGCCCAGCGCAGGAGCGCGGCTCCCGGATTCCCCACAGCGGCACCGCCCTTTCCCGCGGGGAGCTCCGCCCCCGATCCTGATTGGCTGTTGGGAGCGAGGCGGGGCCCGGGGATTGGCTGCGTGGCGGCCGCGGGCTGACGTGGCGGGGCCGGCGTGCGGACCCCGCGGGGCTGTCCCCCGGGAGTGACCGAGCGGGCGGCCGGGCCCAGGCAGGCGGGGAGGCGCTGGGAGCGCGAGTCGGCGCGATGCCGCTGGAGCTGGAGCTGTGTCCCGGGCGCTGGGTGGGCGGGCAGCACCCATGCTTCATCATTGCCGAGATCGGCCAGAACCACCAGGGCGACCTGGAGGTGGCCAAGCGCATGATCCGCACGGCCAAGGTGAGCGGGGAGCTCGGGGCGGGGCGCGGACGCGGGAGCCGGGACCCCGTGCTCGCCTCTGCGTCCGCCGCGGGCAGAGGCGATCTCAGAGACCCGGCCCCTTCCTGCCCCTCGTGGCTCCACGTCCCGCATCCTGCAGCGCCTTTGAACGACTTCCAGGCAAGGCGGTGGCCGTGGTCTCTCCCGTCTGGCGTTTCTGTGCTTGGTTAAAAGCCCGGGTTCCGGGTTCAAATCCGGCTAGCAGTAGCCCGCGTAAGCCGCAGTTTTCCTCCTGTGGAATGCCACTTGATAAGGAATGGTGCTTCCGTCCCAGGGTTGTTGGGATCCCGTGCGGTAACTCTGAGCGCCGTGCTGGGGCTCGGTAAATGCCACGCCTTCCTGGTAGGATGACTGTTTTAGTGCAGGGCTCCTGCTCTGTGGGTTTCCATTCAGGTTCAGGTCTGCGTGGATGCCTTCTCCAACCCCCCCCCCCCGCACCTCCCACCCGCTAACGCTGGCTGGCACACTGCGTTGTCTGCTCTCCCTCACCCGCCCTTGAAGACAGACAGAGTTCCTCCATGGCCGGCATCGGGTCTGCACTGCGAGTCCTGCCTCGGCCGTGGCTCGGGCCGTCTTGTCTTTCTTTCGCCTTGGTCACCGCTGTTCATACTGTTGGCGATTGGGTTTTGTCGTACTCTTCCAGGACCGACTGCTGTTAGGGAAGTCTAGCAATCCTGAGAAGACTTCAGCAGTCACCACTGCTAACATAGTGAGTGCCTGCTCTTTCAGATCCTGAATTAAAGGCTTCAGATGCACCATCTCGCTTAACGCTCGCTCACAGCCATCGGTGCAGCAGGAGAGGCAGCTGGCTTTGCCTCCAGGGCTTAGAAGATGAGTTGACTTGCTCAAGGGCACACAGCCAGTAAAGAAAGAACCCTCCAGCCTTTCACTGGAACATGGTTTTCCAGGGGGAAGTTCCTGCCTTTAATTTGGGGGAGTAGCCTGTTTTTCTAAGGTGTGACTTCTTAGAATCCTGAGGTTGTAAAAATGCCTAGTGATTTTTAAAGCCAGAGAAACAAAGTTATAGGTTCTATCTCTCACTTTTTTCTTCTTATTTTTTTTTAAAAATGGATTTACATATTTGAAAGGCAGCCAGGGAGGGAGGAAAGGGGAGAGAGAGACAGGGAGGTATCTTTCATCTGCTAATTCATTCCCCCAGATGCCTGCAATAGCATGAAAAATGGAACTAAAAGATTATGCTGAGTTGGTGCTAAAACATTGAAAACCACACATAGTTTTTTCATAATATGCATTTTCCATGAACTTTTTGAAGTATTTTTGTATAATAGATATCATAATTAGAAATTCATTTATTGAACATACTTTAAAGAAATTATTTATTTATTTAAGAAGCTGTGGCACAGTGGGTTAAACCATTGCCTGCAGCGCTGGCATCCCATGTGGGTGCAGGTTCAAGTTCTAGCTGCACCACTTCTGAGCCAGATCCCTGCTGATATGCCTGGGAAAGCATCAGAAGATGGCCCAAATCCTTGGGCCCCTGTACCCACAGGGGAGACTCGGATGAAGCTCCTGGCTTCAGCCTGGCCTAGGCCTGGCGGATGCAGCCATTTGGGGAGTGAACTAGTGGATGGAAAATCTCTCTTTTTGTATCTCCTTGTCTCTCTTTCAAATAAATAAATATATCTAAAAGAAAAAAAAAAAGGCAAAAAGAAGAAGCAGCAGCAGAGAGATAGAGAGCTCCTGTTTTCTGATTCACTCCTCAGATGTCCACAGCAGCCTGGGATAAGCCAGAGGTGAAGACGGAGACCGAGAACTCAGTCTTCCACGTGGGTGGCAGGGACCCAATTCCTTCAGCCATCACCACTGCCTCCTGGGTCTGCATTAGCAGGAAGCTGGAGTCAGGGGCTGGAGCTGGGGCTCAAACCCAGGCCCTCCGGCGAGGGATGTGGGCATCTGAACCCGTAGGCTAAATACTGCCCCTGAACATTCTTTCAACTTTTAACTTCGGAATTTTGATGCAAAGGAGCACCACATCTTTGCTCACCCTAGAGTTTTGTTGCTTGCTGTTGCCAGTGGAGCAGCAATGAGCCTTTGAACAAAGAAACCAACATTATAGTAAAACAGTGACAGTGATTTTTTTCTTTTTTCATTTAAATGAATGTGAGCCTTCTTTCTATTACTTTTATTTATTTGTAGGGCAGAGCAACAGAGAAAGAGAGAGAGAGAGAGAGAGAGAGAGAGCGAGCTCTTCCATCTGCTGGTTCGCTCCCCAAATGCCCACCATAGCCAGGGCTGGGCCAGGCTAAAGCTAGGAGCTAGGAACTCCATGTGGGTACCAGGGACCCAAGTAATTGAGCCCTTACCTGCTGCCTCCCAGGGTGTGTTTTTTTTTTTTTTTTTTTTTTTTTGACAGGCAGAGTGGACAGTGAGAGAGAGACAGAGAGAAAGGTCTTCCTTTTGCTGTTGGTTTACCCTCCAATGGCCGCCGTGGCCGGTGCACCGCGCTGATCCGATGGCAGGAGCTAGGTGCTTCTCCTGGTCTACCATGGGGTGCAGGGCCCAAGGACCTGGGCCATCCTCCACTGCACTCCCGGGCCACAGCAGAGAGCTGGCCTGGAAGAGGGGCAACCGGGACAGAATCTGGTGCCCCGACAGGGACTAGAACCCGGTGTGCCGGCACCGCAAAGCAGAGGATTAGTCTATTGAGCCACGGCGCTGGCCCAGGGTGTGTATTACCAGGAAGCTGGACAGAAAGTGGAGACAGGACTTGAACCCAGGTACTCAGATATGGGAGGCAGGCATCCCGAGCGGTGGTTTAACGGCTGCACCGTAATGCCACCCCAGTGCTTGCATTTTCTGGACCTAGAGTTCACTGCAGCTTTCAACAGAGAAAGAAGTCACTCATTTTTAGAAAAGAGGCTTAGAAGAGGAGGAACCCGCTTTCTCCACATCTAACTGGTGTCAACGAGGAATGTAGTGGAACTTGATCCAAGTTCTGGTAATTAACAGTTTCATTTTTGAAACATTTCCTGTAAAGGGCAGATTTGCCCTGATGGAAACAAGTTCATGTATGTATGTATGTATGTATTTGAAAGGCAGAGTTACAGAGAGAGAGAGAGAGAAATCTTCCATCTGCTGGTTCACTCCCCAAATGTCTCCAACAGCCAGAGCTGAGCCAGGCTGAAGCAAGGAGCCAGGAGCTTTATCCAGGTCTCCCACATGGGTGCAGGGGCCCAAGCACTTGGGCCAACTTTGGCTGCTTTCCCAGGCGCATTAACAGGAAGCTGGACTAGAAGTGGAGCAGTAGGGTCTCAAACCAGAGCCACTATGGGATGCTAACCTTGCAGGCTTTATCCTCTACGCCAGTTCCCTGGCATAAAGTTCTTTAACTTCATCAGGACCAGTCTACTCCTTAAGTGGAGGTGAGAGGCAAAGAGACCCAGAAGCTGCAATCTTCGAAAGTCTCCTTGGCAGCTCGCTGGAGGCCCGGTTGGCAGTGAGTCCAGGCCGCAGGAACGGGCCAGGGCACACATGTTCTGCAGCCTTAGGAAGGGGATCTGGGCAGTGCTGGGCAGCTCACTGTGGGCCCTGGGATCTTCATCTAGGTGATGAAACTGTTGCCCAGGGTCACTCTCCATTCTAAGGGTCTTTGAACTTCTTTCCAGCATCAGGTCCTGACTGTGCCATCTTGGTATTTTTCTAGGAGTGGCACTGTCTGAACCCAAGAGGTTTTATTTAAAATTTTTTTTTTTTTTTTTAAGATTTATTTGTTTATTTCAAAGGTGGAGTTACAGAGAGGGAGAAGCAGAGGTAGAGAGAGAGAGAAGTCTTCCATCCGCTAGTTTACTCCCCAAATGGCTGCAACAGCCAGGGGCTGGGCCAGGCCGAAGTCAGGAGCCAGGAGCTTCGTTCCAGGCTCCCATGTGGCCTCAGACACAAGCACTTGGGCCATCCTCCCCTACTTCCCAGGTGCATTAGCAAGGAGCTGGATTGGTTCTGGAGCAGCTGGGACTCAAACCGGGGCCCATATAGGATGCCAGCGCTGTAGGTAGCGGCTTAACTCACTATGCCACAGCACCAGCCCCCAAGAAGTTTTCAACAGCAGGAAAACCTCAGCATCTACAGGAATGGCAGTAAGGTGCGGCTTTAAAAGCTTTTACTTAATCTTCCTGTTGAGTAGTTTTTTGGAAGCCATCCTAGGATTTTGGAGGGAGATTGGCAACAAAATTGTAGCTTCTTTTTTTTTTGACAGGCAGAGTGGACAGTGAGAGAGAGAGAGAGAGAAAGGTCTTCCTTTTCTGTTGGTTCACCCTCCAATGGCTGCTGCAGCCGGCGCACTGTGCTAATCCGAAGGCAGGAGCCAGGTGCTTCTCCTGGTCTCCCATGGGGTGCAGGGCCCAGGGACCTGGGCCATCCTCCACTGCACTCCCGGGCCACAGCAGAGAGCTGGACAGGAAGAGGAGCAACCGGGACAGAATCCGGCGCCCCGACTGGGACTAGAACCCGGTGTGCTGGTGCCGCAGGCAGAGGATTAGTCTATTGAGCCGTGGCGCCAGCCAGCTTCTGTATTATTGCTTCTGCTCAGTTGAGATCACCTAGGGTGGCTGCTTCTCACGTTTGCCTGTTTGCTTTTTGCTGCAGAACCTGTTGCTCAAACAAAATGTCCTGCAGAAAAGCACACGTAGCTGAAAGCAGAGCTGCTGTGGTTGAAGTCAGGGCCCAGGGACTCCTTAGAACAGCTT